AGTGAATACATGTGAATCTCAAGAATCAAGGGAGGAGAATATTTCAAAAAGTATCAGTTTTACAGATAGGTGAAGTATAATAAGCTCTAGAGAAATTTTCTGGATTTGCAGGTAATCCTTGGTGATTTTAATAAAAGTAAATGGAGGTGCATTGGTGGAATTGCAGTTGCTAGAGCGTAAATGGAAAATGAAGATAACCAATGTAGAATACTCTTTCAAGAGGCGCGTTGTTGTTCTTGTTACTTGCCGTCGAGTCAGACCTGACTCATAGCAACCCCTCCTTGGGTTTCCAAGGCTGTGTCACTGCAGAAGTAGATTGCCCAACCTTCCTTCTGAGGAGTGGCTGTTGTTGTTGTTATGTGCCATCAAGTCTGACCTGACTCATAGCAACCCCTCCTTGGGTTTCCAAGGCTGTGTCACTGCAGAAGTAGATTGCCCAACCTTCCTTCTGAGGAGTGGCTGTTGTTGTTGTTATGTGCCATCAAGTCTGACCTGACTCATAGCAACCCCTCCTTGGGTTTCCAAGGCTGTGTCACTGCAGAAGTAGATTGCCCAACCTTCCTTCTGAGGAGTGGCTGTTGTTGTTGTTATGTGCCATCAAGTCTGACCTGACTCATAGCAACCCCTCCTTGGGTTTCCAAGGCAGTTATCACTATGGAAGTAGATTGCCCCATCTTCCTTCCGAGGAGCAGCTGGTGGGTTTGAACCATCAGCTTTCTGTTTAGCAGTCAAGTGCCTTAGGCACTATGCTACCAGAGCTCCTGAAAAAAATCCACCCTAGAATAGGTTGTTGTTGTTATGTGCCATCGAGTCAGACCCGACTCATAGCGACCCCTCCTTGGGTTTCCGAGGCAGTATCACTACGGAAGTAGATTGCCCCATCTTCCTTCCGAGGAGTGGCTGGTGGGTTTGAATCACCAGCCTCTGGTTAGCAGTCAAGTGCCTTAGCCACTATGCTACCAGAGCTCCCTTAGAATAGGTAAGAGCATGAAATTATTTTGGGGTTTAACCTGGGAATACCATGCATGGCAAACGGGACTTTGAGACAAGGATTATCCTAGATTATTCTGGTGGGCCCTATGTAATCATGTTGTTGTTATGTGCCATGGAGTCAGACCCAACTCATAGCGACCCCTCCTTGGGTTTCCAAGGTAGTATCACTACAGAAGTAGATTGCCCAACCTTCCTTCCAAGGGGTGGCTGGTGGGTTCGAACCGCCAGCCTTCTGGTTAGCAGTCAAGTGACTTTGGCACTACACTACCAGAGCTCCTTATTCAGGAGGCATAAATAAACTAAAAGAATTATTCTCTGTTTTGGATTCAGTTGTGTCCCCGCAATATATGTGTCATAAATCCTAACCTTTATGTCCTTTATATTTGGGAATGAGTCTTTGTTATGTTAACTATAGAGGCTTACTATAGAGTGTGTTTTAATTCAGGCTCTTTTGAGAGAGAAAAAATTAATTAAACAAGCAAGGGATAGAAGCAGAGATGAGGGAGGAGAGACGCCAAGCCGCATGAAGACTGTGCCAGGAGCAGGGAAGCTCAGAAGAGCAAGGAACTTCCTCTAGAACCTTCAGAGAGAAATCCTCCCCCTAGAGCTGGCACCCTGTTTTTGGACTTCTTGTTCCTAAACTGAGAAAATAAATTTCTGTTTGTTAAAAGCCACACACTTGTATTTCTGTTATAGCAGCACTAGAGAACTAAGACAGAATTTGGTACTGAGAAGTGGGGTTGCTGCTCTAACAAATACTTAAAATGTGGAAATGGTTTTGGAATTGAGTGATGAGTACAGGATAGAAGAGTTCTAAGGTGCCTAATAGTAAAAGTCTATATTGCCTTGAAGAAACTTGGTAGAATTATGAATTTCAAAGGCAGTTTTTTGGTGAGGGCTCAGGAGAAAGAGAGGAGAGCTATAAAGTCTATTTTGTCTTAGAAAATATATAGCAACATTCTGTTACTAGAAATGTGAATGTTAAATGTGCTTCTGGTGAAGCTTCCCCGCACCACCACCACCTATGTTTCTATTAGAGCAGCACTGGATAACACTGTCATGACCTGGGGTATGTAAAATGATCACCTACATTATCTGCCTCTAGGACTTAGTGGGAAGCACCTGTCCTACTTGCAGTGTATGCCCCTATCTGGTAAGGGCCTGTGTAACTGCATGAATCTGAAGAAACTGACCTCAGTACCAGAGACTTCTCAGCACTTGTATGTCCCACTAATTGTATCAAGATCCCTATTATTTATTTAAAAACAAAAATTCATTTCATTCAAAATGCTTACTATTACTGAAAACACATAGTTTCAACAAAAAATTCAAAGCAGAAAATAATTCAGTCTTTAAAGGGGTAACTAAGATACCCTCTTACTGTAATATTTATGTGTGCTTTATCGTTTATTAGGAGCTCTGGTGGCGTAGTGCCTAAGACATTTGACTGCTAACCAGAAGGCTGGTGGTTCAAACCCACCAGCCACTCCTTGGAAGGAAGGTTGGGCAATCTACTTCCATAGTCATACCGCCTCAGAAACCCAAAGAGGGTTTACTGTGAGTCAGATCTGACTTGACAGCAGGGTATTGCGTTTTAATGTTTATTATTGCAGTATAGCACAATGTATGAGCGTGTAGGGTACTTATCATATGCATAACGTTTAGTTGCTGAATTTGGTTTAATCCTAGTTTCACATAAAATGGACGTAATAAAATTATGTCCTACCTCACGAAGGTTTGGTAAGTTGTTAATACAGAGATACCATGTAGCACTCTTAAAACATAGTTCTGGGCACATAGAAAATACAAGACTAAACCAAAGCCACTGCCATTGAGTCGATTCTGACTCATAGTGACCCCCATTGAGTTTTCAAGGCTCTAAATCTTTACAGATGTCGATTGCCTCATCTTCCTCCCATGGAGTAGCTGGTGGGTACTGAGCTCGTTAGCAGCTAGATGGCCTTACCCACTATGCCACCAGAACTTCTTTAGAAAGTACAAGAAATTGTTTAATTTCTTATAGCTACTATGTGCCAGGTCCTATCTTACACACTTCACGCATGTTATCTCATGAACTCAGTGGATGAAATACTACTGTTACACACATTTTGCAGATGATTATACTGAGGTTCTGAGAGGTGTCATAACTTGGTTGTGCCACACAGCTGGTAAGTGATATTGGATCAGGATTGTCAAATTTTATAATAACCTCACAGAAACTGAGAATTGGGACATGTGTTGATTCTTTTGTGCCACTCTAACAGAAAATACCACAAGTGGGTTTGCTGGCCTGATAGAGCCTGGTGGAACACCTGAGACTATGGCCCCTAGCTGCCCATCTGGTCTGGAACTGAACACATTCCTGTGGCTTCCAGCCAAACAGGCATAAGAGCTGAACATTTACATTAGGTATATACACTCTTTGGAGAGATCAATCATGGTAGAATAGAAGGGCTCTGTATGCACAGGGAGACAGCTCGGGGGCAGGAGTGCATGGGAGGGAAGGACACAGGGAAGAGGTAGCTATTGGGAAGAAGTAGGAGAAAAGCTGTTGCATTGTGGGAGATTGTAGTCAATGTCATGAGATAAAGTATATGTGAACTGCTGTATGGAAGATGAATTTGCTCTGTAAATTTTCACACAAATCACAATAAAACTTAAAAAGAAAATACCACAATTGAGTAGTTTAAAACAAACAGGGATTTATTCTCTTTCAGTTTTGGAGGCTAGAAGTCCAAGTTCAAAGTGCCATGGTCTCAGGGCTGGGTGAAGTCCCCTCCACCTTGAGCTACAGCTCTGCCTCTTGCCCCCAACCCATCAGAGCTGGATGTATCTCCAGGCAGCTGCTGGCTGCTGAGGCTGACAAACCCAAGGTCAATGAATAAAATGGCACAGTCCCAAAATTATCAAGCAATGTGGCAGGCCACTAATTCAAGTTCATTAACAGTCCCAAGATCAGCAGAAAACATGGCAGGCCATTGAGATGAAGACTTGGCCAAACGCAGGATCCAGATATCCCAAAAGCTTGAGACCTTCTTCAGAGCTGCTGCTTATATACTGGAAGCAGAGCACATCCCTAAGGCATATACTCACCTGCTCATAGTAGATTCCACCATGGAGTTGATTACCAGTCTCATCATGGAGAGTAACTATATCCAGCTGCCCAGCCACTCAAACTAGGCCTAGCCAAGTTGACACATAACCTAACAACCACAGGACAATTGTATTTTGCAGCTTAGAAGATCATTGAAGGTATCTTGGTGTGGCTGGAGAGCTAGATTGTATGTGGTTGAGTATGGTTGGGAGTTAAGCAGTGAAAGGCTTTGTGTAGATCTCTCCTTTGAGAAAGAAGCTGATTGGTTCAGAGAGAGAAATGGCATAGTGGCTTGAGGAAGAAGTACTACAGATTAGAAAGCTTTCTCAAGACAGGAAAACTTGAGTGTATTTTTAGACTTGAAGAGAGACAATTGTGAAGGAGGAAATGTGAACATGAGAAAGGAAACACAATAGACCCTATCTTGATGAGATAAAGTCAGAACACTGGAAGATTAGTCAGTCTTAGAGGAAGGGATAAATGAGCAAAGAGAAATTTTGAGGTTGGAGTGGCAGATGATGTAGAACTATAGCCTCCATGGTGTAAGTCACTTGAAAATGAGTAGGACAGAAGAATAAAGATGTAAAGTGAAACCAGTGATCTGAAGAAGTTGGATAAGTTTCCCAGTACTCTGAGGAATAGGATAAGGGTCAATTTGGTGGTGGTGGTGGTAGGGGTGCATTTTAAACGCAATTAAAGATTGCTGAGGCTATAAAACATTTTAGAGTAGTCCATGATAATTCAGTTTTTAAATGACAATCTAGAAATGGAGATGATGACATCTAGAATTTTTTGTTTTAATCACATTTGGCCTCTGAGAAATTGTACTCTTTTAGTAATTGTTATTATAAATTATCAGAAGCTGCATGTTTTTAACTGTTAGAATTTCATTTTTACCTTATTTATTTATTTTTACAGAATTTCAGGGCTGTCTGCAAAGATTTGAAAAATGGCAACAAATGCAAGTATCGGCATCTTCAGTTCAGCATCCTTGGCTGTAGAGTATGTGGATTCACTTTTACCTGAGAATCCTCTGCAGGAGCCATTTAAAAATGCTTGGAACTATATGTTGAATAATTATACAAAGTTCCAGATTGCAACATGGGGATCCCTTATAGTTCATGAGGCTCTTTATTTCTTGTTCTGTTTACCTGGATTTTTGTTTCAATTTATACCTTACATGAAAAAGTACAAAATTCAGAAGGTGAGTATAATGGACTTTAAATAGAATATTATCATAAATATTGTTGAATCTTTTTTATATGAATAAAAGTTTGTTTTGTGAGACTAGGGCAGTGATAGCCAATATGTGATGTGAGCTACATATATAATTTTAAATTTCCTAGTAGGACACAAAGTACAAAAAAAAAAGGTGTAATTAATTTTAATGTATTTTATTTAACTCAGTAAGTCTAAAATATTGTCAGTTCAACAGGTAATCAAAAAAACTTTTTTAATACACTTAATGATATATTTTACATTATTATTTTTGTATTAAGTCCTTGAAATCCAATGTGTGTTTTATTACCCTTCCAGTCCTTCTCAAGTCAGACTTGTTGTTGTTGTTACGTGCCGTCGAGTCAGCCCCGACTCATAGCGACCCCTCCTTGGGTTTCCGAGGCAGTATCACTACGGAAGTAGGATTGCCCAACCTTCCTTCCGAGGAGTGGCTGGTGGGTTTGAACCGCCAGCCTTCTGGTTAGCAGTCAAGTGCTTTAGCCACTATGCTACCAGAGCTCCTCAAGTCAGACTAGCCATATATAAAATGTACTAGCCACATACTGTTAGTGGCTACCATATTGGACAGCCCAACCTTAGATCATTATTGATAATGTCTCAAGAATAGTTTGTTAAATTGGACCTAAAGTAGATATGATATTTATTTACCTTGGATTCATAAATTGTAATTTTTAAACTAGTTGAAAGAAAAAGAATGAGGATTTATGAGTATTGATATTGCAGTTTACCCTATCCTCTGATATCATAGCAAATCTAAGTGTGTGTTAATATTATAAGACCCTGACCAGGCCTATTAAAGCTATACCTTACCCCTAAATACATTGTGAGTGGTTGTGTAGCATTCATGTCATCCCAAATAAGGAGGTGATACTCCTAGTTTCTAAGTATTAGAGTCAGTCTGTTAAACTTTTCTTGAGAAACATATGTACATGACAAGTTATTGAGTACACAGAATCCCCCTCCCTTCTCATTTATAAATGTAGGGAGCGTAGCAAACTATACTGATGTGTTGGCTAATGAGCTTGGTATGACTTCCAGGAAATAATCTGGATTTATCATTTATCAGTACTTTTTGGTAAACCCATGATAATTTCAAATACTTCCTATTTACTTTTCAAAAAATTCATGCCAAACTAAATCTCAGGGGCATGGAGTATCAGTAGAAAGTAAACATATCAGGAGTGTGCATCTATGGAAAGTAATTTGCACTCACTGAAGATACACTAGGTAGACAATCATTGCATACACTCCCTCAGTCTGTCAGCTTCATAGCATCCTAGTGAGTCTCACTTTAAGCAAGTGCTAACATTAATCCTCTCTGGGGATAGCACAGAAGGTCAGGAGAGTGTGGACTCTTCGTGAAGGAGGAAAGAACAAAGGGAAAAAAGAAGAAGGAATGAAAAAGTGGTGTCCCAAAGGAGAATATCCTGTCACCCTAAATGAAGGACACACAAGTTCTAAAAGTGATTTTTATGAAAAAGCCTGCTTTGGCAGACAATTCAGTTGAGATGTCTAAGTTCTAAGGTGTCTTAGGGTGATTCTGGCCGCCATGTGTCACCTACTGATTTACTTGTAGGGCTGATTTGTTATATGACAGGGCAGGCACATGTACTGTTTTCCTTCTTCACTATCCTTATGTGCATTCCATGCTGTAATTCTCACACTGGTCAGAGAGGAGGACCTTTTTTGTAGTTAAGGGTGTATGAGTGGCTTTAAAATAAAAAGCAGCAAAAGCAAGGATAAATACTAACTAACCTAGGTGGTTAAATTAATTATTTAATCATCAGATTGAATGGATTCAAGTCTATATTCAGCATATATTTTGAGCTTCAGGGCCCTTAAAGTCCATACTTTGAACTTTGTTGATATAAATTGTTATTGTAAATCAGTACAAGTTTTCATAATATAAAGGGATTTCAGAGTAAATGAAATAATTAGTACATATTAATTTAAGTTTTTGCTTTTTGAAGACAAATTCTCAAAATAATATAGAGAGTTTTAAGAAGTTGCTGGTGGTGATGAAATAATACTAAAAACTGTCTACTTCCAAACAGAATAGACAACTTAACAGTTAATGGACATACTTGCTAGATACAGGAAAATTTACAGGAATGAAGAGTAATAAGGTAAATATTGCAGGATATATTTCCCTAAAAAATAGTCATACAACTTAATTCTCCAGAATTTTTTTCTTAAAGATGTATGTACTAAAAACATTCTTCTTCTGAAATGGATAGTCCTATAATAAAAGTATTATTTCATATCAGAACCCAGTTATACATAAAGTGATACATGGTAAACTCTTATATTGCATTAGGTGTAACTTTTTGTTATTAACTGCCTTTAGCTAATTCATGTATACTTCAAATAGTGATTTTACTATCCATAGTTGATTAATTTTTTTGTGGTACTTTTGATAGCTCCATCGGTATCAGGTTCTAGCCAGGAGTTTCTGGGGAAAACAATACCATTGTTGGCAAGTGCTAACATTAATCCTTTCTGGGGATCATACAGAAGGTCAGATGACTGGACTCTTGGCAAAGGAGGAAAGAACAAAAGGAAAAAGAGGAAGGAATGAAAAGGGTGGTGTCCCAAAGAAGAATACCCTGTCACCCTAAATTAAGGACACAGAAGTTAAAAAATGATTTTTATGAAAAAGCTTGCTTTGAAAGACAATTCAGTTTAGATTTCTAAGTTCTAATTGTCTTTAGGATGATTCTGGTCGCTTTGTGTCACCTGTTGATTTACTTGTAGGACTGATTGGTTATCTGACAAGGCAGTTACTAATAGAACTTGGATGAACTAAAATCTAGGTCTCTGGACTCAGTTTCATTCTTGAAATTAAGGGTTATTTTTTTCTGACAAGAATAGGAAAACATTGAACTGGGACTCAACCTGGAAATTCAATTCTAATCCCAAGGCCATCATTAAGCAATTAACTAGGACTGTGATGTGATAGGAGCTCTGGTAACATAGTGCCTAGGTATTTGACTGCTAACAAGAAGGCTGGCGGTTCAAACCCACCAGCCACTCCTCGAAAGGAAAATGGGACAATGTACTTCCTTAGTGATACTGCCTCGGAAACCCAAGGAAGGGCCGCTGTGAGTCGGGTTCAACTTGACGGCCGTGAGTTTTTAGTGATGCTTACAGCTCAGTTTCCTGAGCAATAAAATGAGGGGATTAAAAAGGTATTTATAATTATGCTACTATTTCTAATGTATTATCTGAAGCTTCCTTTCTGAACTTCTAGTCTGTGATAGGGAGCAAAATAAACTGAAGATTCAGGCTGGACAAGGTGGTTGACCTCTTTTGGCCTCTGTTGATGAACAATGCTCCCCATATTTGGATATTGTGGTTCAGTTTAAAAAAAAAAGAAAAGGCAGCTTTCTGAATTTTAAAGTAAGGACATCTAAAAACAAGGAATAACTACTATTTATTATCACTTTCTTTTTGTAAAGCAAAAAAGCACTATTTCTTATCACCAAGAAAGTGTAAGAGTAGCCCTTTTGAATTGAATGAATTTTGTTTTTTGGTATGGCTTGCTAAACAAATCAATATTCCAGTGAGGTTTTATGAACACCTCACTCCATTGATCTTACTTTTCTCATTTTGACATGGATCTGTGAATGGTACTATCTGTAGGCAGTAGCTCTCCATTCTTTGGGAATCACTGATATATCTCTGAAGTTCTTCAGCTTAGAGGATTTATAATCCTGTCACTATATGAACAAATATGAACTTCACTTGCTTGAAATGAATGCCACTCCATGACACATGTATTCACCTCTGTAATAAAAGCTTCCAATGTTAGTGTGTATATAGCTCCTTCAAAAGTTGAGGGGGCCCGATTATAATCTTACCATAATGCCTTCTTTCTTTTTTGAAACTTGGAGTAAAAGATGTGAATGATCTGTGCGCAGCAAAGATTAGAGAATTATTTATTCTATAGTACTTCTTTGGTTTGTTTGAAAATCATTATGCTTGGGTTTGTCTGTTAAGATTCTTCACCGTCTTAGGTTGTTGTGATTCCTGGGCCTTACTTTAACAGAATTATAATTTTATATAAACATTAAATACAAATAGGGAATTCCCTTCTAATTGTTAAGCTAAACTACTGATAGCTCTGGTTAACAATAAACAATATGATATTTTTTCTCCATAGGATAAGCCAGAATCATTGGAAAACCAGTGGAAATGTTTTAAAGTGCTTCTCTTTAATCACTTTTGCATTCAGCTGCCTTTGATTTGTGGAACCTATTATTTTACAGAGTATTTCAATATTCCTTATGATTGGGAAAGAATGCCAAGATGGTATGTAAATACAAATTTGATGTTTTATACTCAATCATAGTTTATTACCGAGTTAAAGTATAATCAGTACCAGTTGAGTATTACAATAACCAGTTACAGTAACAACAGTAAGCCAATAACCAGTTGCCATTGAATCGGGAGGACCCGACTCGTAGCCCCACGTATGTCAGAGCAGAGCTGGCTCTGTACGGTTTTCAATGGCTGAGTGTTCAGAGGTACTTTGCCAGGCCTTTCCTCTGAGGTGCCTCTGGGTGGACTTGAAACAGCAACTTTTCAGTTAACAGTGGAGCTTTTAACTGTACCACTCAGATACTCCAATTAAAATATGCATTATGTTTATTTTTTTTTTTAATTTGATTAATCCTTGTTTGATCTAAACTTCAGAAGTAAATAAAATGAACAAAACTAAACCATAGTGGTAACTTAAAATGTTTTTACTTTTATACCTTTCTTTGTTCAAATGTAATATTTTAGTGAAAGGTAAATTTTTAGCATCAGAAGTTTTCATAGCATCCTCTATATCATTATGTACAGAAACACATGCTTATATTGAACAGAAGGGAACTGGTATTACAAGATACTAAGGAAAAACATTAAATTTCAACTCTAAAATGAATGAAAGAAATGAGAATAATCTGTGAGGTATACAAAAATTATGTCCATATAAACACAAATAAATACTATCTGAGTGCAAAAATTTGTGATCAAGTAATATTTGTATTCAATTCTGTTGATACTATCTGAGTATAAATATGCCAATTTATGAGTGTGTATGTGTGTGTGTGTGTATATATATATATGTTGTTGTTATTTGCCATGAATATATATATATTAGTTGATCAATATATCCACTAGGTCAAGCTGATAAGTGAGTATTTGGTTTTATGTAATATCTCAAGCAGCAATCACAAGTAAGAGTTTAGATTATTTATATAAAAATTCTATTATTCACATTATAATGTTTCACCTTACAGGTCTATGCTGTTCCTAAGATGCCTTGGCTGTGCCATAATTGAGGATACCTGGCACTATTTCCTACATAGACTCTTACACCACAAAAGAATATATAAATATATTCATAAAGTTCATCATGAGTTTCAGGTATGTTACAATTATACTTAATACATTTCTTATTAAACACAAAATGTCATTTTTATTCTGTAAGCATTTTAAAAGAATTGTTGGCGACATTTTTATTTCTTTCTCCTTTGGTATGATTACATAAAATATAACACATATGCTCACACAACCAGTTCTACAGATTTTCTTTAGTATTTAAATTTCATATTAATTGGGAACCGAAAAACAAAACATTACATGAAATACTTGATTTTTCTCATTTTTGTGGCCAGAGCAATATCCTGACACAGTTAGATCCACATGATAGCAGTTGTAGTGATGTCAGAGTTGTTCAAATGAGACCTAACACAGAGTTTGAACATCTAAAATAGATATTAAACTATGTTTAACACATTTTCAATGCATGCCAACTTCCACAAAAGTAGAGATTTTTAGATTTACTAAATTGCTTTGGTTTGGCTTTGAAAAATTGGCTATGTCAGAATTTTCTGCATCCATCCTCATTACATGGTATACTACTACCAAATGAAGCATCTCTTTGTTAGAGGAAATTCAAAGGCAAAGATCAAAGTTAGAGTTCAAGCTAGTTGTTAAACCATGAAAGACAGTTACTAAGATTTATTAAGGATATTGCTAGACCTTTTGATGTTTGATAGGTATGGAAAGATATTTTTTATTAAGAATTGCTATTGTTATATATGTATAGCTAGATATATTATTATATGTAGACTCAACATAATCTTATGAAACTATATGTGTAAGTAACAGAATGTATTAAGGAGTTCTTATCTATTTGCTTTAGGCTCCATTTGGAATGGAGGCTGAATATGCACATCCTTTGGAAACCCTAATTCTTGGAACTGGATTTTTCATTGGGATCGTGCTTTTATGTGATCATGTAATTCTTCTTTGGGCATGGGTGGCCTTCCGTTTGATGGAAACTATTGATGTCCATAGGTGAGTTATGGTTTCTAGTCCAGTGATTTGGTATCATATAATAGTTTTATTTTCATGATCATAATATTATCTGTGGAGCTTTAGTAGCATAGTACCTAAGGCATTTGACTGCTAACCAGAAGGCTGGCAGTTCAAACCGACCAGTCACTCCTTGGAAGGAGGTTGGGAAATCTACTTCCGTAGTGATACCTCCTCAGAAACCCAAGGAGGGGTCCCTGTGAGTAGCACAGCAGTGAGTTTGGTAATTATCTGTAGACTAATAAAACCAAAAAAAACACACCCACTGCCTTGAGTCAATTCCAACTTATAGTGACCTCCATTGGGTTTCCGAGGCTATAAATCTTTACAGAAGTTGATTGCCTTATCTTCCTCCTGCTAGTGGGTTTGAACTGCTGACCTCCTGGGTAGCAGCCAAATGCCTTATCACTATGCCACCAGAGCTCCTTGTAGACTAATTAAAAAAAAAAAAAAACAACTCAATGCTGTCGAGTCAATTCTGACTCACCGACCCTCCTTGGGTTTCCAAAGCAGTATCTCTGGAATGGATAAACAAACTGTGGTATGTACACACAATGTAATACTATGCAACCCTAAAGAACAATATAGACAATGTGGAATCAACAAAACACTACATAAAAAAACCCAAACTCAAAGTGAATTTGCTCTGTAAATCTTCACCCAAATCACACACACGCACACACAAAACCCAAACTCACTGCCATCGAGTTGCATCCAACTCATAGTGACCCCCCTTGGGTTTCTGAGGCAATACCACTACGGAAGTAGATTTCCCAACCTACCTTCAGAGGAGTGGCTGGTGGATTTGAACCACCAGCCCTCTGGTTAGCAGTCAGATGCCTTAGGCACTATGCCACCAGAGCTCCCAAAACACTGCTTAACATGGATGAACTTGGAGGACGTTATGCTGAGTGGAATAAGTTAATCACAGATGGACAAATACTGTATTAGTCCACTATTGTAAAATGTCAAGGAAAGGGAAATACACACACACACACACACACACCAAAGATGATTAGTGGTTACCAGGGGTAAGAGAGAGCGTGGAAAGGGGAAGCTTTTGTTTGTGGGGCATTGAGTTTACACTAATGGGAAAAAAGGAAAAATTTAAATTAAAAAAATTTTTTTTCAAGACCTATCCTGACATACAGTGCTGTCAATAATAGGTTGATATCTATCTGCCTACAAGGAAGACCAGTTAATACTCAAATTTACACACCAACTACTAAAGCTAAAGATGAAAAAATTGAAGATTTTTACTTCTGCAGTCTGAAATTGACCAAAGTTCCAATCAAGATATATTGATAATTACTAGTGATTGGAATGTGAAAGTGGGAAACAAAGAAGCAGCATCAGTAGTTGGAAAATATGGCCTTGTTGAAATAAATGATGCCAGAGATCACATGATAGAATTTTACAAGACCAACAACTTAATCATTACGGATACCTTTTTTCAACAACATAAATGGCAGCTATACATGTGGACCTCTCCAGATGGAATACACAGGAATCAAATCAAGTACATCTGTGGAAAGAGGTGATTGAAAACCTTAGTATCATCAGTCAGAACAAGACCAGGAGCTGATTGTGCAATAGACCATTAATTGCTCATATGCAAGTTCAAGTTCAAGCTGAAGAAAATTCAGACAAGTCCACAAGGGCCAAAATACAACTGTGATTATATCCCACCTGAATTTAGAGACCATCTGAAAAGTAAATTTGATGCATTAAATACCAGTGACTGAAGACCAGACAAGTTGTGGGATGGCATCAAGAACATCATACATTAAGAAAGCAAAAGGTCATTAAAAAGAAAAGGAAGGAAGAAAAGACCAAAATGGATGTCAAAAGAAACTCTGAAATGTGTTCTTGAATGAAGAGTTCAATGGTTAATGGAAGAAATGATGAACTAAAAGAGCTGAGCAGAAGATTTCAAAGGGCAGCTCAAGAAGACATAGTAAAGTGTTATAATGAAGTGCAAAGACCTGCAGTTAGAGAACTAAAAGGAAAGAACATGCTCAGCATTTCTCAAGCTGAAAGAATGGGTGAAAAATTCAAGCCTTAAGTTGGAATATTGAGAGATTCTGTGGGCAAAATGTTGAATGATATTGGAAGCATCAAAAGGAGATGGAAGGAATACACAAGATACACATGAATATACAAAGAACTGGTCAATATTCAGTGATTTCTGGAGATAGGATGTGATCTAGAACTGATGGTATTGAAGGAAGACATCCAGGCCACACTGAAGGAATTGATGAAAAACAAGGCTGCAGGAATTAACAGAATACCCCTTGAGATGTTTCAACTAACAGATGAAGTGCTGGAGGCACTCACTGATTTATACCAAGAAATGCGGAAGACAGCTACCTGGCCAGCCAACTTGAAGAGATCCATGTTTGTGCCTATTCCAAAGAAAGATGATCCAATGGAATGTGGAAATTATCCAACAATATTATCAAACCAAAAAACCAATCCCACTGCCATTGAGTCAATTCTGACTCAGCAACAAACCCTCTAGGGTTTCTAAGGCTATAAATCTTTACAGAAATAGATTGCCTCATCTTCCTTCTGTGGACCAACTGGTAGATTTGAACCACTGAAATCCTAGTTAGCAACTAGATGCCTTACCCACTGAGCCACCAGAGCATGCAGCTAAAATTTTGCTGACAATAATTCAAAAATGGTTGCAGCAGTATATTGACAGAACTGCCAGAAATTCAAACTGGATTCAGGAGAGGGGATGAAATGATGAGGCATAGTATTGCTAATGTCAGATCCTGGCTGAAAGCAAAGAATACCATAAAGATGTTTACCTCTATTTTATTGACTGTAGAAAAGCATTGAACTGTGGGAATCATAAGAAATTAAGGATAATGTGAAGAATGGGAATTCCGGAGCACTACACAAAACGTTATTCCACCTCCTACTTTGGCGAGTAGTGACTGAGATCTTAAAAGCTTGCAAGAAGTCGTCTAGATGCAATGATGGGTCTCTCCTCATCCAGAGCAAAGAATAATGAAGACAACCAAAGATTCATGGAAACAATTAGTCCAGGCGACTGGTACACCATGTGATCCTCAGCCTGTACGAATGACTATGAGACCAGAAGAACTAGATGGTGCCCAGATACCACTGTCAACTAGTTGGAGGAGATCCTGGATAGAGTGGAAGAATGATGTGGAACAAAACTCAAAATCATTTTGGGGGAAAAAAAAGGACCAGGTTTGCTGGTCTGATAGAGCCTGGTGGAACCACTGAGACTGTGGCTGCCTTCAGGTCTGGAATTGAACCCACACCTGTGGCTTCCACCCAAACAAAAGACAAGCATATGAGGTGAACATTTACACTAGGTAGATATACTCCTTGGAGAGAATAATCGTGGGAGAGTAGAAGGGCTGTGTATGCACAGGGAGACAGCTCAGGGGGCAGGAGTGCATGGAGGGAAGGAGACAGGGAAGAGGTAACTGTGGGGAGCAAGTGGGAGGGGAGCTGTTGCATTGTGGTAAATTGTAGTCAGTGTCATGAGACAAAATGTATGTGAACTGGTGTAAACTCACCCAGATCACAATTTAAAAAATAGAAGAAATCAGACTGTGAAATCAGAAGAAATTATGGCAAATGTGCTACACAAAAGGCCTCTTTAAAGTGTTAAAAAGCAAAGATGTCACTTTGAAGACTAAGGTGCACCTGACCCAAGCCATACTGTTTTCAGTAGTCTCTTATGCATGTGAAAGCTGGACATTGAATTAAGGAAGACCAAAGGAGAATGCATTTGAATTTGGTGTTGGTGAAGAGTATTAAATACCATGGACTGCCAGATAAATGAGCAGTTCTGTCTTGGAAGTACAGCCAGAATCCTCCTTACAAGTAAGAATGGCCAGACTTCATCTGATGTACTTTGGTTGTGTTGTCAGGAGAGGTTAGTCCCTGGAGAAGAATTATGCTTGGGAGAGTGAAGGGTCAGTGAAAAAGGGGAAGACCCTCAACAGGATGGATTGACACAGTGGCTACAATGAACTCAAGCATAACAATGATTGTGAGAATGGTGCAGGACCAGGCGATGTTTAGTTTAGTTCTGTTTTGTACGTAGGGTGACTGTGAGTTAGAGCTGACTCAGTGGTACCTAACACCAACAACAAAGATTTATTGTCTTTTATCTCTGAGGTATTTCATACACAATTCTTATACATCTTTTATGTTTTTTTCCTCATTATATTTTCTAGAATATGTACCCTTGTCTGTAAATGTTTGTCTTATGTAAACATAACACAAATAATATGACTTAGGCAAAGTAGAATGCATAATTAACTTATGCAAAGTTAAATGCTAGTTAAGGAGCATATGGTTATTGATGAAAATGTCACTTAATTGAGATATATTTATTTCCTTAACAATTTTTACCATTTTTATTTCAGTGGTTATGATCTTCCATTCAACCCTTTAAATCTCATCCCTTTCTATGCTGGTTCACGGCATCATGATTTCCACCACATGAACTTCATCGGAAACTATGCTTCGACTTTTACATGGTGGGATAGAATTTTTGGAACAGACTCTCAGTTTAATGCCTACACTGAAAAGATGAAGAAATTGGGGAAAAAGACTGAATAAACCTCTGCCTAAATGCTCTTGAAGATACACAGTATCCTGAATTGAAACTAGTAGCTAATACTGTTTCTGAAATAAGTATGTATCTTGGCTGCTAAGTGGTAAAAAGAACATTAACAACCTTTAATTATCTTCCTATTGGGAACTTTTTCTACTTTACATACAAATCTTGTTTATGTACAAATAAATATATATTTAAGTATGATTTTCATGAGGAAATCTTAAATGCCATTTTGCTAACCTTACAAAAAGGGTTTTAAATACTGGAAGAAGTATTAATCTGTCTTTTCCTCTAGTGATGTCATAGGTCTCAAGTTGAAATTAGTCTTTTAATCGTGGTGTTGACTTCATATTGAACTTTAGACAGTTTGTAGAATTTGCCTAAAGATCAGAGTTGTTGAGCCACATCAGTTGTTACAATGAGTGACTGAAGCTGCTGAATTAGCAATGGCTGCACTGAGGACTTCTGTCCTTGTCCGGAGCTGACCAGCTTGAGGTGATTCTCCCTTTCTTTGAGGAACTCTTTTTGATCGTAATTTGTAGATACCGGTAGTGAATTGCAGCTTTTCTGAACTGATGTAAGTGGAATACTTTAGTCTAAAGATTGTCAGAGTTACTTCCTTTTTAAAAAATTGAGGAGCTTTTTTCCTGCTATGTACACTTTGATTTTTGTATATCAAGTTTTCATTAAATCTGTGTCTTGAAGCTTGTGAACTGACTACTGTATTTGCACTTTGTGCTATTGAAATAAATGTGATTTTTGTCTCATCCGGTTTCCAGTTTTGGACATCATCTTTTACCTTTTTTAATATATTTTTTTTTAATTTATAGTTTGTATTGTGATTTGGGTGAAAGTTTACAAAGCAAATTCATTTTTCATACAGCAGTTCATACACATTTTGTTTCATAACATTGACTGTAATTCCTCACAATGTAACAGCTCTCTTCCCACTTCTTCCCAGTAGTTACTTCTTCCCTGTGTTCTTGTGTTACCTTTCATTTTATTAGTATTAAAAAAAATGCAGAAATCACTAAAGTGTTAAGTTTTATAATAAAATGAATATTTATACTGTTAAAATATTTTATTTGCTAAACTATTTCCTGGAAGTTTCAACGTCTAATTAGTGGGCTGCCTACTGTGGGAAATTCTACTGACTTGTGCAGCAAGTACAGGCAGCTCTTTTCTCTCTGTAGAAAATTTATGTGTTCTGTACAGATCAAAGAATTGAGCTAAACATTTTTAGGGATGATTGATCTCAAGTATCTCAATTCTAACCCAAATCAAGAGTTGATAATTCTTAAATGGTTTTGGTTTTGGCTTTGAATGTCCTCAAGTTGATTGCTACTTGTGGTGGTTTGTGTGTCAGAGTAGATCTCTGCTTCATCAGATTTTCAGTAGCTGATTTTAGGAGTTGCCAAGCCTTCTAAGATACCTCTAAGTGGACTCCAGCCTCTTGGTTAGAGCAGGCACTTAGTTGTTCATGATTACTGGGATTTTTCCTTAATTTTGAGTCGTTCTCTGAAATATATATATATATATTTTTTTTTTTTTTGAAAACGTATGTAGTAAACAGATCCCAGTAAGCAAATTCAGAAAGTTATGGCAATATTTTGATAAACCATTTTTATAATTTGAACATGGTTTATAATGACTTTTTAATTTTCCCTCCCCACATAGCTGTATATATTTCCTATCTCTTAATTCTCAAACAGCAGTTGGAGCTGCACTTAAAATTATGCTGTTTAATTATAAAATAGATATTTTACAGGAATTATTTTATCTTCTAACTTTCACTAGCTATTCATGGAATAAGGAGCTCTGGTGGTGGTGTAGTTAAGGCATTTGGCTGCTAACCAAAATGGTGGTGGTTCAAACCCACTAGCTTCTCTGTGGAAATAAGATGAGGCAGTCTGCTTCCATAAAGAATTACAGCTTTGGAAACCCAATGGGTGTGGCTGTTAGTAGGAATTACCTCAAAGGCAGTTGAGTGAATCAAGATTTGTACAGACATCTGAGGTGGTACAAAGTGTTAACAAGCTCGGCTGCTAACTGAAAGATTTGAGGTTCTATTCTACCCAGAGGATTCTCAGAGGAAAGGCTTAGCAATCTTTTTCCAAAAAAATAAATGTGTGAAAATGCTATGGAACACAAGTTCTACTCCAACACACACGAGGTCACACAAGTCGGAATCTACTTGACAGCTGATGTTCAGGATTTAGGGAGAGAGTGACACCTGCTGGAAATGGTGCTGAACATTTTCTAATAATTTGGTGCATTCTTGGGCACTTTTTTTATACTAGTTATCATTTACCAAGCACTTACCCTGAATCATGTTAGGGACTTTCAGTGCACACTCTCATTTAATCTATGATGTATATGCCATATGTCCATTTTTACAGATGAATAGGCTGAGATGGGTTAAGTTGCTCAAGATTACAGGGTTGGTCTTTGGCTACTGTCTTCACTACCCTGGAGACCTGTGTCTTCTATAAAAATCTCAGGAATTTTTCAAAAATTTCTCTTCATTTTACAACCTTAAGAAGTGAGTTATTTGCCATGAGAAACCATCTCACCACGGCAAAGTTCAACAAGATAGAACATAACAAATGCTGGTGACGATGTGAAGAGATTGGGACTCTAATACACTGCTGTTGGGACTGTCAATGATGTAACCACTGTGGAAATCAGTATGGTAATTCCTTAAACAGTTGGAAATAGAAATCCCACTTGACCCAGCAGTCCCATTACTAGGTATATATCCTAAGAGGCAGGACACAAATCAATAAATGCACACCCATGTTAAACACAGCACTATTCACAATAGCAAAGAGATGGAAACAACCTAAGTGCCCATCAACTGAGGAATGCATAACTGATACATACACACAATGCGATACTATGCAACCCTAAAGAATAATTTAGAATCTGCAAAACACCACATAATGTGGATGAACTTGGAGGACATTATGCTTAGTGAAAAAAAGTCAATTACAGAAGGACAAATGTTATATTAGTCCACTATTGCAAAAAGTCAAGGAAAAGTTATACATGAAAGGAAATTTTCTTTGTTGGTTACCAGCGAAGGGAGAGAAGATTTCTAGATAGGTTGGAAAAAAAAACATAAATAAATTACATATATATAAATATATATATACCAAAAATCATTAATGGTTATCAGGGTTAGAAGGGAGGGGGAAAGCGGAAGCTTTTGTTTGGGGGCATTGCATTTATGCTGAGTTGGTGGAATATTTCAGAAAAGGATAGCAATAATGGTGGCACAACATGAAAAATGTAATCAATGTCCCTGAGCTGTAAATGTGGAAGTTGGTATGTTGGTGAATGTCTTGTGTATGTTTTCACCACAATAAAAATTAAAAAAAAGGTTATTTGAAAAGGAAGATGGTTCTAAACCAGTAGTCACCTAGAATGTTGTAAGACTTACTCGTAATAAATGTAATACAGATTTTAATAGAATTTACTGGCAACACTTGTGCATTTAAAGTTACCTGAGCTTCTATCATATCTCCTAACATTTCACAATTGAGACCAAAAATAAAAGAATACCAGTATACAAAAATAAAATACGTGTTTCTGATTCTAATCTAGACAGTAATGAGCCATAGAGATTATTTCTTGGATTATCTGTTTTGGCTTGCACTAAAGTAGTTCAAAACCTTACAGTTAATACTGTAAGTATTGATACTCTAAGTGTGCTTAGAGTTGTATTTATAGTAACAGTGAACTAGTATGTTTTCTACATGTTCTGGTTAAAGACATTTGGACTTTGGATAACGTTGTTGTTATGTGCCATCGAGTTGAACCCGACTCATAGCGACCCTTCCTTGGGTTTCTGAGGCAGTATCACTATGGAAGTAGATTGTCCCATCTTCCTTCCGAGGAGTGGCTGATGGGTTTGAACCGCCAGCCTTCTGGTTAGCAGTCAAGTGCCTTAATCACTATGCTACCAGAGCTCCTTGGATAATATTAGTTCTGTGATATTTAATAAGAGACTCACCCCAACTGCCAATTTTTAAGGTCTTTAATAAAACCCAAGGCAATTCCACATTCAGTTCCACATCAGCATAGCTGGAGATGGTGTCTAAGCCCTTCATAAAGAGTGAATAGCTGGAGGATGTTTATTTCCAAGACGTTCATTTCTGAGGATTTAACTCCTAATCAACTCTTCCAAAAGATTAGAATATTTTCAGCCAGTATTCATAATGATGATGTGTCCTCGGTCAAAGGATTGCTCTCTCTAGTTGGTGACTATCAAATGCTGGTATTCTTATATAAAAGCACTAGAGGGCCTTTGTAAAAAGACTCTAGGACATGTTCTTGGAGTTCTATTGGTTTCAGAGTGTTTAAAGAAAAAGGATGTCAGAAACTAGAGTTCAATGTAGGAAATATTACCTTCAAACATAAGAAAATAAGCCATTCACTCAAAGGGCAGATGCAGGCTCTCTGTGCAATCACAAAGGAAAGGAACTATGACAGAAAATAAGAGGATAACCGTAAGAGCTGCTCACAGGAGACTGAAAACAACACTGTAGGGATGGTAAATGGAAAGAGAAAGACATGCTTTGACAACTTCTTGCTCCTTAACACTATCAAACTCCTTTGCTACATTTACTCTGCAAAGCCTTTTTCTTTTCACCTCAAACCCATTTCCTCATCTATGAAATGAGGATAACAAAAGTTCATAGGGCATTGGTGAAGATTCAGTGAGATGTTCCATGTAAAGTGTATAGAACCATGTACAATACATATTTGCACTTATTTTTGTTGAACTATACCCCCAGCTTTATTTAAAGACCCAGCTCAAGGCCCTCCCCTCAGCCCAACCTTTCATACTAAGGTCTTATTCCTGCTATAGATGAGAGAAAACCTTCCCTTCTAGAGTTCTGTTGCACTCATTTCTATCATTCTTTAGCATACACTATCTGCTTTGCTACTTCTTTAGTCAAAAAGGAGCCCTAGTGGTGCAGCAGTTAAGCATTCAGGTCGGTGATTTGAAGGAACCCACCAGCCACTCCACGGGAGAAAAGACCTAGTGGTCTGTTACCATAAAAATTCCAGCCCAGGAAATTCTATGAGACAGTTGTACTCTGTCATATAGTTAGGGTTGCTATGAGTTGCAAATGACTCAATAACACACAACACCTTTAGTCAAAGATTTATGTTTTGCACTATGTACTTTCTTCTCTTTGTTCATACTTATCTCACTCTGAAACTGAGGCTTAGAGTTATCAACATGGTCAAAGTTATGCAGCTGGTAAGTAGCAGAGTTAGCTCCAGAGCTGGGATTTTCCTATTATATATTTATTTTCCCACTTG